CCCCAAAACCCCAAAACCCCAAAACCCCGCAAATCCTAATAGCTTTAAAATTTGTAAAATAAAGAAATTAATTTTGATTATTGGTTCAATTTTATTTAATTAAAATCAACTAAATTAGGATTTGAAAAAGACTTATTCACAGATTGTTTGAGTTGGAATTAATTTCCCTTAACATTGGGTCTTTATCAGGGTTCATTTTCATCATAGATAAGTAATGAGCTGTACTGTTTCTTCTCAAGGAATAAAGCTTATATTTTGGATCTCTAGCATTTTTATCATATATTTCATCAATCTACTCCTCCTCTGGGGAAAGCTACTATGATATTTGATAGTCCTCTTGGATAATAGGTTCACTTTCTTCTATTTATTCAGTATCATCATCTCCTTCATTAATTTCAATTGGATAACCTCTTCCTTCTAATGAATTTGAATCATCAGAGTCATTGAAGTCAATCTATCTCTGATTTTTAATCTTTTACTCAGATTACTTACTGTTGAAGTTGCTATTTCTAAAGCTTTATTCTTTATCTTAACTTTTCAGATTTTACTCTATTAAAGTTGGATTTTGAGAGTTATAGTCTTCAAGCTCAACAGTTGCTTTATTTTAATCTCTTTTGAATTGACTCTTTTAATTTTCCTCATTTCTTCTCTTGTTAGTTGCAGAAGGTAAATTAACCTAGGCTATTTAATAACTCAAATCATATGGGTAGCTATTCTGTTCTATTTTAAGTTTATCTTGAGAATTATTTCCATATGTTCCTCTATCAAAAAAAGATATCAGATTATCACTAAATTCTGCTACAATTTAAGAATCTTATATTCTTACAGATTAGTCTCTATTATCAACTTTCTTAAGCTTTACCAGCCTTTTACTTTCCTTGAAAAGCTTAAGAATTCCTAAATAATTAGAAATAATTCCACAAATAGAAACAGTGATTGGATGAACAAAATCACTAATGATTGGCATCCTTAATCTAAATAGCAACATCAATATTCTCAATGAGTTCTAAAATATAGCAACGTATGTGTATCTCAATTTCTGTCTTAGAATAATTAGCTTCCTAACCAATTCATGAGCTTCTGAATTCTGAGTAATCACTTCTTCGTTTAATTATTCCATTCTTGCCTTAACATCATGCTACTTCTTCAAATTTCTAAGCTACTCTAGTACATATTTAATGATCTCAATGACATTCTTCCACAGCGCAAAAAAATCTTTCAGCCTCTTCCACTTTACTTTTTAGAATATCATCTTCTTAATTATTCCCATATTTGCTAGCCAAAGAATATTATCACTCAAGTATAATTAGAAAGCGAAAATAAATGAGAAGGTTTGCAAAACTCTTATGATAACAGGCTTGCGATTTCTTTCTGAAGTATGATATTCATGCAATTTTTTAAGCGGTTCTAGAAACTTCAAAAATTTAAATATTTTTCTGCCTAGGGAGATGTTGTCTACAATCCTTTCTGATACTTTAACATATTCTGATTCTTCACTCCATAGTCTGTAAAATAATTAATTATGAGTATGTGATTTTGAAATATTACAATATGCTAATTGAAAAAAAAATGTTTAAATTACATACTCATCTGAATGCCGCATGCAAAGAGAGTAAAGTTGGACAGTATACTGGACAAGGGCGCATATTTTATCTCTTCCATTTGATCCACTCATTAGATTAGATAAATCACTTGCCTTTTCTGCTATGAAATGCCCTATTTCTTTCTAAGGAAGGGCCAAATTTAGTTTTTCAGCCATCTCCCCCATGCTTTGTATTCTTTTCATAAATTTAATCTTTAATAAATCATATCATAATTTATTATTTTCTTTACTAATACATTTTTGTAATGTTAGGATTGAGGGGTTTTGGGGTTTTGGGG